CTGGAATCCTAGCTACTCAGGAGGTGGAAATAGGAGGATTGAGGTCCAGTATCAGCCTAGACAGAAAAATCTGTGAGACACTATCTCCAATTAACAAGCAAAATGGTGGGTGGGAGGCCTGTCTCCAGTGGTAAAGTGCAAGCAAGTTGAGCAAGCGTATGAGGCCCTGAGTTCAGTACCCCGGGCGTGGGGGGGGGGGGGGGGAGGGGAAAACAAGAGGAGATGTGTAAATGTGTTTTCTCAGGGTGGCTCAAGTGATCCATTGCATTTAGACCTCAAAGGACATCATTGAATACAACCAGACTGAGCTGTTCAGAAAGTGCCACCACATAGTGAGGACCTCAGTGCCCAGGAGAGATGAAGGGCCAGGCATCTGAGCCTATACTATGTCACAGGTCACTCCCTGACAAACCTCTACCTTCTATTACAGTATACTGCACTTGGGGTGCTATCCGAACCCTGTCTCAGGCACAGGCTGAGCATTCCCCTTCCCACTTCCTTTCTCGGGGACTTTTTTTTTTTGTCGGTCGGTCGGTCATGGGGCTTGAACTCTGTGCCTGGGTGCTGTCCCCGAGCTCTTCAGTCCAAGATGAGCACTACTGCTTGAGCCACAGTGCCACTTCCGGTTTTCTGGTGGTTCATTAGAGATAAGAGTCTCACGGACTTTCCTGCCCAGGCTGGATTTGAACTGTGATCCTCAGATCTCAGCCTCCTGAGTGGCTAGGATTACAGGTATGAGCCACCAGTACCCGGCCCTTTGTTTTTGTGTTTGTTGTTTTTTTTTTCAGTTCTATAGAGGCTTCATGATTCTTTTACCTTGGGATACTTAGTCCATTCAACTCCTTCTGTCTAGAACCCCGGTCCTTTATCTGCTCTGTTCTTGTTGTTATCTTAATTCTCAGCATCCAGGCTAGATCCCTCAAGAGTCCTGTGTCCTGCCCTTTTCCAGCTCAGCCCCATTGGTCTCCTTCATAGCCTTTTTGTGATGGTAATTCTATCATTTGTGTGCTTTTTCTCCATCTCTTTCTTCACCAGACGATAAATTCCATGGAGATGAGAAACTGTATCATCTCGGCTATGGTCTGAGTGCTCATGTCACCTCAAAATTCATATGTTAAAAACGGACTCCCAAGATGATGGTATTAGGATGTGGGATATGAAGTATTAGATATCCAAGGGATGATTGGGTCATGAGGGGAGAGCCCTCAGCAATGAGATTAGTGCCCTTTCCAAAGGTTCCTGAGGGATGCTATTGGGTTCCCCTGCTGGTGAGGACACTGTAGAACTGATCACCTAGGAGGAATGGGCCTCCTTGATCCTGGATGTCTCAACCTTCAGACTTGTGAGCAATGAATTTCCTTTGTGTATAAATACATCACCCAATCAGAGTCAGTCTTGATCATGACAGATTCCACAGTGCCTCTTCCTGCTTCTAGAGTAGATACTCAGTAAATGGTGGTGTGTGTAAGAAAATGAAGCAGTGGGAAATCAGACTTTAGACTTTATGTGGGTTATAAATCTTTAGACTTTATGTGGAGTCAGACTTCTGTTGTCTTTATTGTTGGTGGGGACTGAGCCCAGGGTCACCTGGTACATGCTAAACAGGAGTTCAACCACTGAGCTACTGTTTTCTGATACATATTTTTCAACCTCTACTATGATGAGACAGTTGCTGGAATGGCTATCAAAGCTCTACTGAGCCCAGAGGAAATGATGAGAATGGACAGCTACTGGGCTCATGTCCAGGTTCTGCTGTGTGAGACCCAGGGACCTGCAAATAGGAACAGCTCCCCCACAGGAGTCCCTCCTCATCTACAAAATGGTGTTAAGAACCCCTGAAGGTGGGCCAATTGGTGGGAAGAATTCTAGTCTGGTTAGTGTGAAGAAGAGGGCTGCGTGGGGAGAGGGCGGGGAGTTCTGCCAAGTGCAGTTATCCAATGGGAATGAGCAGGGGAGTCAACCGGCTAGTTCTCATCCATTGAGGGTGCAGTCAGTTGAGTGGATGCTCGCTCTTCCTTCTTTCCCAGATGTCTCAGTGGGTCAGAGCCCACAGGCTCCCCTCTGTGAGGAGAACAGATGGCTGGTGAATTCCTGAATGACCCGGGATTACTCACTTCTCCAGGTAACAACAGCACAGCAGGCAAGGGACACGTGACTGCCTCAAAGTCCAAACCACCCAGAGAGGCTTCCGTGGCTTCCGTGAGTGAGTTCATTTAAGAGGTGATTGAGAATATCACAGTGACATCTAGTGACCTGCAGAACGGTACCTACAGGCCAGTACACATACATCCACCCCTTTCTTCCTGGAGGCAAGCTTACCCTACTCAGGCCGGCCCCCTCTGCTAATGCTTTTGTCACTGGACAGAAGAAGAAAAGCCCAGATTCTCAGTAATGTTTCCCCCCTTGGGAATTAGGATGTTTGCTTCCAGCACAGAGGACCTGGGGATTATTTGAACAGAAGCTTCTGAATAAAAGTAAACAGTCCTCTGGAGAGAAAGAGAAAAAAAATCAGCCAAATTCCTATTTCCCAAACTCTTCCCTAGGTGCTTATTTACCACAAACCAACGCGCCTCTTGCTGGACTCTAATGAGTCTAATGAGACATGGGCTCTGTGCACACCAATGCTGATTTTCTAACTCGTAGAGCAAGATGGATTTTCTGGGCTAGGGTGGGTTTTTGAGTGTAATGTTCCAATGTTTTGCTTTTTATTGGGTAAATCAGTCTGGTTCTTCCTCAAATCGCAATTCAGGCTTGACTGGCAAATGTGCCCATTTAGGAACCACAGGTCTTCCTGAATATTAGATATGTTGCTTATTGGGACTGTAACTGAACCATACTTGCAGGGTAGTTCCCAAATAAAGGGGAGTCCTGGCTACTTCAGACCTACTCATGTTTTCTGTCTGTTCTGGAAGGCAGTGCCCTCAGTGTCACCAGGAGCTCATGCCCACTGCTGATAGCGGTTTTGTACCTCTGGCAGTACAGGTTCCGTGGACTAATTAGCTTCTGTCTGGTTACTATGTGGGGTGGGCACTGGGAAGTCGTGGGAAATGCAAGCACACACTGCAGTGTGCTGTCCCATTCCCAACCTACAATACTGCCTTTTAGACTGTGGTTATGACGACCACCACATTTTCCTCTGTTGCCTTCCAAAGCTCTTAACATCAGTCATTATGTGAGTCAGGCCATCCATCCAGGATCCCCTACAGTGGTATTTTTAAAGGTCTCAAAGGAAGAGCACATTTTTTAAATTACTCATGACTTCTGGTGATGTAGATTTGGAGTATTTAGCATTAATGAGCAGGTGGGTGTTACTTGAGGGCACAATGAATGGGCTACTATGTGACTCCATACTGCTGTGCTCAGCTGCATGTGCCACCATCTTGAATTGATCTTTGCCTCTTGGGGATGCACCCTGATCCCTGGGGGAAGTTGTGGCCCTCTGGTCTGGTCTGTCTTTTACCTTTGCCCCTACATCCACCTCAGTTTCCATCTAGCTGCTTATGTTGCCCTTTTAAACCAAAGCAAACCATGAAGGGCATTTTTTCAAAGTGGCAATGCATCTGAATGGGAACCCAGTAGCCATCTATTTTAAAGGAGGCAGTTCTTTTTGTAAGGTCAAACCTACTTTACTAGGTGTTATTTTTAGCAGTGTAATGGTGTCCTTTTTCAAAAGACTGACAAATCCTACACAAGAAGAAAAGATTGGGCCCAGCAGTTTAAGGAGATGTCATTAGCAAAAAACTAAGTCTAGCAGAATAAAGTGGCTTCTCTCCGGAAAGCAATTCTTCTTTGTCTCGTCTCTGTTCACAGCTCATTAGTTCTCTGGGAATCAGAATAAGGCGTTTCCCAATTATCTGGCCACAGGAGAATGTTGCTGATGGATGGAGCTGAGCTTTACAGCAACACACACACACACACACACACACACACATCTCCTGGCACCATCCAAAGAGGTGGGTCTTTCCTTATTCTTGAGGGAACCCTGCTGAGAAGCTCTCTGTGTCTCCACAGGCTTATTGGTAACAAGGGGACTCATAGGCATTCTCTGCAGTGTTTTGAAAATCAAGTGCCAATATCCAGAAGTGCCTACTGTGTTCATTCAGTGGTATACATTCAGAGATATTTTCACGGCACTGTGTTAAAACACAGTGGGCAACTTTTGCTTTTATTTTTTGCAACTTCAGTACAAGCAATTTAAGTTGCCATGGTCAGAAGACACACAGTTGGGAGGCAGGCCACAAGCTAGAAGTGTAACTAAAGGTACCTAGGACAAGCTACCAGACACACAGGGTATCTTCCCCACAAGGTCAGCTACAGGAGTTAAGATCTCAAAGTAGCAGGAAGAAATGATGGGCTGCCTCCCTGATCTCACAGGAAGCCATGGGGGGCGGGATCTGAACAGAAGAGGCGTGGTCAATGTCCTTTTTGCCCTGGTCCTGTGGCAATAGTACAACATCTAGCAGGTACCAGACCATTGGAGAGAAAACTTGTGAGCACTTATCTTCTTGAGTTTCTTGAAGTTTCTCCATTATGTGAGGATATATGAGAGTTAAGGCAGGAAGTCAGTGCCCCAAACTTTTAGGGTCTGACAGGTGTGCTATTTCTTTAGGATTTTGGAGTGGCTCAGTCTGAGGGACCCAGTCTTTAAAGTAGGGCTTAGCTTTCTGTGGTCATCTGTGAGATACGGGCTCAGGGCCATGAAATAAAGACTGTGACCTAGAGCAAGTGGTTTGTATGTAGGAGCAGTGATTTGAAAGTTACCAAGGGGAACACCAGCCATCATCAGACTCTGTATTTAATTGTCCCATGTTTATTCAACAACTTCTAGCCAGGTGCCGATGGCTCACATCTGCAATACTAGCTACTCAGGAGGCTGAGATCTGAACATAGCAGTTCTAAATCGGCGCAGGCAGAAAAAGCTGTAATTCTTCTCTCCAATTAATCGCACAAAAGCCAGAAGTGAAGCTGTCGCTGAAGTGGTACAGTGCTAATCTTGAGTGAAAAGCTAAAAGACAGCATTCAGGCCCTGATTTCAAACCCCAGTACTGGCAAGATAAAAGAAAACCAAAAAAAGTCCCACTTTCTAGAAAATGATTTGAACATTTGAAACTTTAGTTAGATCAACTAGTCATGAAGGTGGAGATTTCCTTAGGATAAGAAGGGCAGTCTTCAGCTGGTAGAAAGAAGAATAAGCACATTGGGATTTGTATGTTACGAATTCAGTGCACATCAGCTCTGGTCTTTCAGAAAGCTTTAGAAGAGGATTGTACTGCTCCTTTCTTCAATCACTTCTATAACTTCTAGAGTTGGCAGAGAAGGATTGTGGCTCCTGGAGGCAGCAGGCAGCTAGAGAACGGCAGAAAGGCTCATCTGTCCAACTGGGCGATGCCTCCAAAACATACAGGAAGACAGATGTGAAACAGAAGCCAGGTTTCCGTCCAGCCTCCTCTGCAGCTTTCCACCCCTACCATCACAACCATAACAACTAGTGTCATAACCAAAGACACGAACTGGTTCTAAGACCAGCTCTCTACCCTGCTCTCTACCCTCTAGCCTGGGATCTCGCTAGAGCCAGGGCTGAACGTTAGCCCCAGCCGAAGGGTTCTAGCTGCAGCTTCCTCCATCCTAGGCACCCAGTCTTAGCAGGGAGCCCCCTTGTCTTAGACTCTTGATTGCATGTATTTTATCTACTGTGGTGCATTCAGATGCCTGCTTCCCTTTCTCCTGAGAGGGGAATAGAGGCTCATTCCTTGTTCCCTGCAAGATCAGCTTTAACAAAAAGGATGCCTGGAACAACAGCCCAATGTCCTGTCCCTGAGGGACTTGCAGAGATCTCTACTTGCCACATTGTCCACCTTTCAACGTCCAATCCACTGTCAAGCACAAGACTTCCCACTCCTGCGTGGGGTCAGAGCCCACCCAGGACCCCTTCCCCTTCATCCCCCCAGCCCAGAACCTAGGAGGCCAGCCTGAACTCAACAACGTTTCCCTTATGTTCCACCTGAGCCCTCTGCCCCCGTGTGGGGCCAGAACCTGGGAATGGAGCTGGGGTTTGGGAGAAGGCAAATGCTTTGTTTCTCAAAGGCCATGTGAGAGTTGTGAATGCTGTGTGTGTGTGTGTGTGTGTGTGTGTGTGTGTGTGTGTGTGTGTGTGTGTGTGTGTAATTCCATGTCTGGGAATATCTGATTTCTCTCTGCAGGATCAAGCCAGGGAATCACAGGCCTGATTTTTGTCAACATGTGCTTCATCAGCCTGGTAATCTGTATTCCTTGTCCTTTACACTGATTATAAGGCTTTTTCTCTACTCCCTTTCTTAACATTCTTCCTTCCTGGATTCTCACACCAACTTCCCAGGGTAGGAAGAAGCAGCCTTTCTCCTCCCCTTCCCTGGTCCTCATATTTCTTCCCTTGCCTAGCCCATCCTGTTGAAGTAAGATTCAGGAGCTGCTCAGCACCGGCCAGAGACTCTGTCCAGCCTGGCCTGACAGTGCAGCTGTCTCTTCAGTCACCTGTCGGATCTGATTCACATCCTACTATACACCTTGATAGCCAAGGTGTGCTGAGCACTGAGGCAGTTTTGGGGGAAGATTCCTCTTCCTCCTCTTCTTTGGTGAGACAGGATCTGATCTTATTATATAGCCCAGGTTGGCCTACAAAGATTGATCCTCCCACCTCAGTCTCCAAAAATGCTGAGATTACAGATGTGTGCCATCATGTCCAGTTTTCCACTCTTTTCCTTTCCTCTCTGTCTCGCCCCCATCTCAGTGCTACACATGACCCTTTCCAACTCAGCTTTCCATCAGGATCTCATTGCAGGCACTCTGGGTTGTGAGAGAAAACTACAATGAAGGAGGTTCTTGCACCAAAAAAAAAAAATCCTACAAAAAAAATCAAACAGACAAAAAAAATCAAGAACTGCCGGGGTTCCCTTGGATGGGAAGTAGAGGGCACCGTGCGCTGAGAGTGAGTGAGCTGGACAATGGCATGCTGCCTGTACCTGTGCCCTAGGTGCTCAGTAGTTGAGTGACTCTGTTTCCCAGTAGGCCATAGTAGAAACCGCAGTATAGAAAACACGCATACTCAATGGATGACAGAGCGGGGTGGGGCTTGCACTCTGCAGCTCTTAGTAAATGGCTCTCGGCCTCAGATTTAAATATTTAAACGTTCCCCATGACTTAGAGGAGCCCTTAGCTCAGGGTGAACTCCAGGCTAGAAGCTGGAGTCTCCCACTGGAAGAATAGATCCTCCCTGATCTATGGACATGCTTCAGTGGTAGGAGGTCGGGGATGAGGGGAGGGGGGGCGTTGAGAGCCTCTAGGGAGGCCTTTGAGTACCAGAGAGGGAAGTGACTGGGGCCAGTAAGCAGAGAGAAGAGAGATGCCACAATGCCACTCTCACCATGGGAAATCTACCTGGCCCAGCCTTGAACTAGTGTTGACTCAAGCTTGAGAAAAGGCATCGCTGCCCCAGGGGCCTAGGCCTGGTCCCTGAGCCTGACGGGAGGGTGGGTATATATGCTGCTTCCCTCCACAGAGTTGGGGTCCACAGTGTCTGGGCCCCCAAACAGCACACTCAGCTACCTGCCCTTTCTGCTCTCCCTTACTTTGTAGCAAGTGCCTGGAAGGTGGCAAGGGGAAGCTGTGGAGAGCGGAGAGTCCTCACACCGAGCCCCTGGTCTCCTGGGACCCATGTAGCACATCCTCTACATCCTGTTCAGCCTCAGCATCCTGCTCTGCCTCAGTACAGGCCCCCAGCAGTGGGGGGCTGGGAAGGTACTGGAGGAGTCGGCCTTCCCGCTTCATTTCTGCCAGCTCCTTGGCACAGCAGCTGGGTGTGTTGGTCTCATAGGTGTCGTGGAAGGTGTTGTAGTCCACCTCATAGAAGCCCTTCTCCAAGGTAAGGACGGGTGTGAACCGGTGGCCCCAGAGCACCTCTGTATCCATGTAAGAACTTCGTGCTTGGCAAGTCATACCTGAGAAAATAGATGTCACGTGCATTATGATATAATCTACTATCCATCCACCCACCCACCCATTCTTCCATATTTTCAACAATCTATCAGTCTGTCTAATTATCCATCCATTCACCCACCCATCCCTCCATCTATCTATCATTTATCTAATTAGCCACCCATTTACCCACCCATCCACCCATGTACCCATCCTTCACCCAGCCATCTTTACATCTATCCAGCAATCTGTCTATCCAGTTGTCCATCCATTCACCCATCTACCTATCCATCCATCCTCCTACCCATCCTTCCTTCTATTCAATAATTTATCAGTCTAACAGTTATTCATCCATCCATCCACTCATGTACCCATCCTTCACGCACTCATCCTTATACCTAGCCAGGAATCTATCAGTCTATCCAGTTATCCATCCATCCACCCATTTACCTATCCATCCATCTATTCATTCACCCCTCCTTCCATCTATTCAATAATCTACCATTCATTAAGCATGTCTTCCGGCAGATGCTGTACGATTGATCTGTACCCATTTCTAAGTAAGCATTTTTTGAACATCTATTTGTGCTAAACAACACAGAGATATAAAGCAAAATAAGACCTAGTCCTTGTCCTGGAGAAGCTCACAATGTGATGGGGACAGAAAACTGGAAGCAAACATGCAAAATTCCAGAGAACATCTCTAGAGACGAGAGTGAATAATTTGGGGGAAGTAGTTGAGGGCAAACACTTGATTCTTGAAATTCGCATTCAGATACAGAAGACTGAGACAGGAGGGGAGGCAGACAAGGGGCAAAAACCAAGATGAATTCAGAATGGGGGAAACATAGAAGAGCTGGCGGAATTCAGAACATAAGGGGATTGTTTGGAGTAACCACAATATGGACAGAAGCCTGCAGGCTCCTGCACACATGCATGTTCATGCACATATATATGTACACACAGGAAGGGGAGCAGTTACCCCCTCCCCGACAGACTTCTTGATCTGAAGATGCTCTCTAGTGCCTCCACGCCCTCCCCACACAGCCCTTGCCATGCCTGTGTTATTTTTAGGTATTGCTCGCTTGCTCACCCTCTCCAGAGAGGGAGGGCAGCTTTGTTTATGGATGAGGAAGCCTTTGAACATAAGGATCACAGGAAAACAGCTTTCTAGTTATCCTTTGAGCTTAGGAAAGGACTAGTTTGTGCACTTTGGGCACCTTTCTGAGAGGGGTATCATACAAATCAAACCCAAGCCAAAGGCTACTTCCACCCACCTGTACTCCAGTGCCCAGACACCCCCTCACGGGACCTCAACCTCAATGGGCTTTTGGCCTGCTCTTAGTTCTCATGGGGAGGCCTGTCTAGGCCAGGTATCTCCATTCAATCCTTACTCTTTTCTGCACACTCCCTAGCCCCAGCAGAAGTATAACCCTCCACCCCTAAACTGGGCACTGACCAATCTAAAACCATAGGCTCCCACCCAGAGCCACTGGGACCAGGACTTCTTTGGGAGCCTTTGGGACCAACTTGCTGAGTTCTGCCTGCTCATTTTCTAGTGAGCTGCCTTGCAGCTAAAGGTCCTGCTTAAGTGCCAGCCTGCTGGTGACTCATTCTGTCACTTTACCACATACAATAGCAGGGAGTACACATTAACTCTGGTGCTCCATTTAGCCATTACATCTTCCCCAACAACCCCATGAGATTAGTTTTCCTGATGGGTTGACAAGTCGAGCAAGAATCCAAGCTCACCCAAGTAGGCTGTGACAGAGTATGTGCTCCTCAAACCAACTAAACTCTTGGCTTCATGAGCAGGCCAACTAAGCCACTGTCATTAAGATCAGAACAGTTAGGTGAGTGATTTTCCTCCTGACCTCCCAGGGTCTCCGGGGGGGGGGGGGGTGGCGGGGGGGGGGGGAATCCTGTCTCTCATAATGGAGACAGAGTAGCCCAGGTTGAGGGGAGGAGGTCAAGCAAATCAGACAAGTGTTTTGACTTGGAGGGAGGAGACAGTGGGCAGAGTGAGCAATCAATCTCTGGGGGGCATGTGGGTGCTTTCCCCACTAGCAGAGATGGATGCTGTAGGAATGGTGTAGCATAGCTTGTTCCTTTGCCTCCCTCCCTTTTACTTGATCCTTCCTTCTTGACCTCACAGTGGAGCAAATCCCAAGAAAGTAAGCCTGCTTTCTGATCGTGACTCTGTCACCAAGGGCAGAGTGACCTGGGCATCCTGGCTCTGTAAGAAGCAGCTTCCTGAATTCTGCCTGTCCTCAGCCCCAAGGGCTCTCCCAGCTGCTACCATATGCTTCCTGTTCAGGCTCCGGCCCCCAGCAGATGGCCAGGCAGCCCCTTTGGCACTGTCCCTAGAGCCTGTCAGCACCCCTGCCTGGTTCCACTGACTCAGAAACTGGAGCCCCGCTGAGTCCCCCCACTCAGCATCCAGTTTTCAAAGGCTAAGCAAGTGTGCTTGGCCACTAGCAGGCCCTAACATTGAGGGACCCGGTAAGGGGTAGACTTGAAAATGAAAGGCCTGGATCTGAGCACTTAGTGTCTGCTTGAGCCTTTCAAGGAAACCAAACCCTATCCTGTTGTCTGCAAGAAAGAGAAGAATGGAAAGGTCCATCATTGTGAGGATGGATGAATTCTCTGTACATCACACGGAGGGCCTGGCCTGAGGCTCAGTCTACTTGATGGAAGGAAGGAAGGAAGGAAGGAAGAAAGGGAGGGAGGGAGGGAGGGAGGAAGGGAGGGAGAGGGGGAGAGGGAGGGGGGAGGGAAAGAGTGGGGAAAGGAAACGAGGAAGAGGACCAGGAGGAGGAAGAGGACCAGGAGGAGGAGGAGGAGGAGAAGGATGGTATATTGACGATGGCTCTCCTCCTTGAGGAAGCCCTGCCCAAAATGTGGGATGGGATGTGTGGATCCCAGAACTCAAGCTTCCTTAGGAACCATGTTCTTTGGAGTGAGCCACCTTAGAGCCATCTGCTGAACAGGGCAGTGTGTCTGAGACATGTGGAAGCCCTCAGCTCCCAGCTGCCTGTGAGAGTCAGCTGAATAGGAAAACACCAGACGGGTCCCAAAGAAGACATCTTTTCAGGCATACCTAAGTGGATTGGTGCACCTCTGTGTGGATGCACTGATTACTGCAAACAGAAGCTGTGCTTGGCTTAGGGAGGAAGGCTGAGAGGAAGCTGCTCCAGGGAGGGGCCAATGGAATAGTCCCTGCCTCACGCTTGACTCCTTGGTGTTTTTGAGAAAGAAGAGTGCAAATCCCTGTGAGTTTAGAAAAGGCTGCCTGTGGCAAACTGTCATCTCCTGGTGATAACATTCATAGTATGCATGGAATCATGAGGTCCTACTCTAAAGAACTAGCTCCCGTCAGGCACCAGTGGCTCACACCTGTAATCCTAGCTACTAAGGAGATCTGAAAATCAAGGTTTGAAGCCAGCCCAGGCAGACAAAGTCCATGAAACTCTTAGCTCCTATTAACCAGCAAAAAGTCAGAAGTAGAGGAATAGCTCCAATAGTAGAGCACCAGCCTCAAACAAAGAAGCTTAAGGACTTATGCCCAGGCCCTGAGTTCAAACCCTAGTACTGGTAACAAAAACAAACAACAACAAAACCCCTCAGTTCCTGTAGTCACCCCAGATTTTTCAGGGTTATTGGTAGCTGTCAGGGAGGTACCTTTTCTTGTTTGGCCTCTGTTTCTATCCTCCATGTATGTGGGAGGCTCCTAGCCTCTATATGTGCTTACATTTTAGATCTGTTCCTGAAAGTTGGACAAGCCCAGCAACGCGATCATTTATCATAACTCCATCTTGAGTTTTCAAATCGCATTAGAGACTGGACAAGCTATCTCAGGATTCTCACATACAAGCTTTCCAGTTCGGGTGTTCCAGTGACCCTTGCCCCTGGCTAGGGTAACTGGTCTAGGAAGAAGACAGATGTCTTACCTGTTGCTTCCACCATCCCTTCTAGAATGACCACCACTTCGAACTCCTCCTGATCCAGCTGAGCCCTGGACATCTCCCAGAAAGGGCTCTTCTCATTGATTTCGTGGGAGATGATGAGCGGAGACACCAGAAAGAGGCGGTCATCGCCAGTGTCGAAGCCCACGTTGATGTCGGTCTGGTTCAGAGGGATGAACTCCCCTTCTTTGGTCTGCCGAGACTTGATGAGCTTGGCCCGGATGGAGGCCTCTACGATGTGGGAGTTGCGGAGGTCTCCCACCCGAAACATGAGGCACAGCTTCTCATCCCGCATGGAGATAACCGCGTTGTTGGAGAACATGAGCGTCTCCGCTCTCTTCTTGGGCTGGCTGATCTTGACAAACATACAACCCACCATGAACGCATTGACGATGGAGCCCAGGATAGCCTGGACCAGGAGGAGGATGATCCCTTCTGGACACTTCTCAGTGATGACCCTGAAGCCGTAGCCGATGGTTGTCTCCGTTTCAATGGAGAACAAGAAAGCAGACACAAAGCCACTGAGGTTTTCCACACAAGGAATCCACTCTTGGTCACCTACATGGTCCAGATCGCCCCGGATGTATGCAATGAGCCACCAGATGAAACCAAAGAATAGCCAGGTGATGGTGTAGACCATGGTGAAGACGAGCAGGTTGAAGCGCCACTTGAGGTCCACCAGGGTGGTGAAGAGGTCGCTCAGGTAGCGGTAAGTTTCCTGCACGTTGCCGTGGTGAACGTTGCATTTCCCGCTCTTCTCCATGTAGCGCTGGCGGGGCTTCTTGCCTTCGGCCAGCAGGCGAGTACGGTCAGTGGCAATGGGTATGTAATCGCGAGCCTGCTTGGGAATCTTGGTGGGGTTCTGGGAAGTCACTCCAATCTCCATGTCCTGGTTCATTGCATTCCTAGAGTCACCAGCCATAGCTGGGCCACATTGAGTTAATAAAAATACAATAAGATAAAGAGATCATTGTGAGTGAAGAGGGCTCTTGTGATTCCCAGATACCGAAGATTCATGGTCATTCTGACCTGGGGGCACTCATGGGTGATTTTCTAAGGGTTTGTTGAGCTGTCCACAGGTCTGTGGCTCACAACTATAATCCTAGCTACTCAGGAGGCTGAGATCTGAGGATCACTGTTCAAAGCCAGCCATGGCAGGAAGTCTAGGAGATTATTAACTCCAATAAACCACCACAAAAGCCAGAAGTGGAGCTACCCTTGAATTAGTGACAGAATGCTAGCCTTGAGCCAGAAAGCTAAAGGACAGCACCCATGCCCTGAGTTTAAGCCCCAGTACTGGCTTAAACACACACATACACACACACACACACACACACACACACACGCACGCACGCACGCACGCACGCACCCACACATTGTTGAGTGAACAAATAAATAGGGGCAAGGTATACATAAAATAAGTAAAATATTTCAAGAAACCTGGAAATAATTTGAAAAATAATAAGGACCACCGTGTATTAAATAAATATTCTATGCTATGTATTATAGACAGAGTGCCACTTGTAACCAAAATAGCCGTCCCTTTTATGTACTGTGTATTCTGTGGATTTTGAATGATGCCTTTCCCTCCCTTAGAAGGTATGTCCCACAAAGATATAATCTTGGGTCCTTTTGTTCTGAATACATTTCAAGCAACTAGAACATTGTCTGGCCAGTCTTATGTATTCAAAAATACTTTCTGAATGAACAAATGATAACTTAAGAAAACAGAGTCCCAAAGAAGGGAAGTGATCATCCCTAGGTCACCACACAAGAAAAGTGCTAAAGCTGACATTTGGATTCCTGCTTACCTGGTGCACAGCTTGTGCTCCGTCCTTTATACTTGTCTGCCTTTTTTCTTTCATCTAATTCTTTCAGCGGCAGACAGAAAGGAAAAGGCGGTGTGTGTCGGATTCACCAAGTGGTAGCTTTTGCTGTCTGCCTGAGGAGTCTGGCCGTCTGAGCGCTCACTAAAATGACAAATGGCTGTGTAGCTCCACCCTTAAAACTTTGATCTAATTATTCCCTAAGAAATAGAGATGTTCTCGTGCCCCAAGCCTTTCAAAAGAAGTCTGGTTTGGGAGGTTATGTCACATTTCAAAGAGACGCCCAGAACACCTGTGGTATCCAGTTTACTTTTTCCCTGACAATGAGCTGAAACCCATTTTAAATGTTTTCAAGATGGTTGAAATAAAGAAAGACCGGAAGAATCTCTGCAAATTAATAAGAGCTGCTTGAATCTCTGAATGCCACAAGCTAGCTAATGTGTAAGAAATATGCATATATAATCCATATATATGTATATAAATGAGCTTCATAGTAGGATTGTATATGCATATATAACCCTAACATGAAATGTATTTAACCCTTCCACAAGTCTACTAGACAGTTACAAAGGGTCCATTTTTCAGATGAGAATAACAGAGCTCACATAGCTTGGAGCTCACCGTACGGCCACAGCTGCGCAGTGGTCCACAGGCAGTGATGTTCTATCACTCAAGCTTAGATTGATAAACTGCCCCCTCCAGAACATTCCGTGAGCTCCAATTCTGGGAGATATCCCTTGAGGGGGTAATGCCACTCAAAATGTTCTTGAATCTTCCCACCCCATTGTCATTCTTTGTAAAACAGCAACAGTCTGTTGTGACCTGACCTGTTGCTGTTTTTCCCAGACAGGCTCAAACTCAAGCCCTGAACATTTCCAGAGACTGATACACTGATTTTGATTGTTGCTCTAAGCATTGAGAGATCAGACACGGTCTTCACTCGTAGCCTTGGACCCGAGCCACATTCCTTAAATCCCCATAAAACTTCACACCCGGGCACTATCACTGCAGATGGGCTGTCTCTCCTGAAGATACAAGTTCCCCTAGTAAACCTTCTCATCTGACCCTCTTGGGCTCCAATACTTTCTTCAACTTGGCACAGCTTGGCACAGTCCTTTGTGAGAATGCTTCTGTTACACTTTGGGGAGTGACTCCAGCCATGGGGTTGGGTAGATAGAATGCCAGGAAATGAATAGAGCCATACTCCTATAAACCACTGCATCGTTGGCCAATCAAGGTGATCTCACCCATGCTGAGTAAGTCAGAAAACTGACTGGCCTTATCTGTTGCTACCCCAGTGACTGCAGCCATTTCAAGGCAGCCTTTAAATGTCATAGGTAAGAGTGATTCTAAAGGCTATTTGTCTTAGCCATCCATTAGCCACTTGCCATTCTACACAAAGCCACCTGCTCCCTGCTCTGAAACATGGGCATTACGAAGACAAATGAGACCAGGATGGCCATGTGTAGGGCTACTGGGCAGAATCCACACAGGACTTTTCTCTTCCTAGGTTGGGTTGCAAGGAATAAGGGTTTAAGCAATTTGGTTCAGGACCAAAACTAGCTTTTCTTTGTAGTGCCTTGAGCTTGTGAGGTATGCTGCCAACTTCCCAGCCCTATAAACTCCTGGAGACCCTGGCTGAGATGGTGTCTCACCCAGCCACAGATGCTGGGCAGGGCTGGGGCAGGGCTGGGAGAATGAGTCATGGCAGGGCACTTGGGAAAGTGTTCGCTCCTGCCCTCCACTCTGGAGGGAAAACAGCTTTGTGCTGATTTTCTGCACTGTTTCCTTCTTTATTTTTAAACCCACTCTCATGCATTCTTGTAGGAGAAGGCTAGTGCTGCTGCAGAAATACAAAGATGTTTTCTAGGACACATCAAGCCAGGTCTGAAAACACTCCACAGCTGGCAGACAGGAAAGGCTGTTTAGTTCCCACTAAGACTAGTACACATTCTCCATGTAGCAGGGATTCCTTGTTCCACTCAGTGTGGAGCTTGAATTCTAGCTCAGTGTTCAACAACTTGATCTGTGATCTCTGGAAAAAAAATCTTAACTTTTCTCACCTCAATTTCCTCTGCTGTGAATCTCAGACAATATGTTCAGCTCTGAGAGGTATTACAATGACTCCCAGAAAGCATATATGATACAATCGTAAGCTTATACACACAGTCATGAACTGCATGAAGACACTTTGATCAATGATGATTGGCATAAACAGTGGGCCTTATGCCTGCTTGGCAGGCTATTTACCACTTGAGCCACACTCTCAGCCCTTTCTACTTTAGTTTTTGAAGAGGACTCTCTCTCTCTCTCTCTCTCTTTTTCTTTCTTTTGCTCTTACCTATGATTCTGGTGTAGCAGGGATCACAAACTCACACTACCACACTTGACTTATTAAGATAGCATTTTGATAACTCTTGCTGTGCTGGCCTTGAATATCATCCCTGATCTCCATCTCCCAAGTAGATAGAAGCACAAGCATGAGCCATAGTGCTAGACCCATCTTAGCCACTTTAATTTGTATAAATGAACTCTAAAATGTTTGCACAAAAAGATGGTGCATTGTTTCTAGAATGTCTCTCCATCATAAGGCTATGTGGTTGTATATATTCATAAATGCTCCTTGAATTTAAATATAAAGTAATCTGGGAGCAGATGGCATATAGCCATAATCCTAGCTCCTCAGGAGGCTGAGATCTGAGAACCACAGTTCAATGTGAGCCTGGCAAGGAAAGTCCATAAGATTTGCATCTCCAACTAATCAGTAAGAAGCTGGAAGTGGAGCTGTGGTTCACGTGGTAGAATTACCAGCCTTGAGCCAAAGTCCTAAGGGACAGTGCTTGGGCCCTGAGTTCAAACCCCAGTACTGGCTTAGACACACACCTACAACCCCCTACACACATACACACTGTAATGGTCCATGAGCCTCATTTTAAACATGAAGAGAGAGCAAGGAGCATCTAAGCCAACAATCTGAAACCAATCTGCAGGGTAGGTATTTAGCTGCTTGGCACAGGGTCTCTATGATTCAGATTTCTTTGTATGGTAAGCTACATGCCCATCCTATAAGGCCCTGGTCTCCAGTCTGTGTGCCCATCAAGCCAAACAGATTTGTCAGAACAACAAAGATGGACTTTAATCAGATTTCCATGATGGAGTCTATTCATTAGGTATCCATTCAGGAAACTCTAATTGAGGAACTACTATAGTTCAGCCCTCTAGCTGGGAGCTGACCATAAAGCAGCAAAGGAGATAAATGCAGACCCAGCCTTCCCGCTGTTTATATTGTAGCACTGCCTCTTTGAACCTTGGGTTTGTGCAGAAATGTGTGTAGAGAGAGGCAGGAAGGGCTTGCAGGCTGCTCTCTGCAGGACATAGGACAAGCACCGACTTGAGTAGATCCTATTCTACTGCCTCACCTTGTTACTGCTCTTTGTCCAGCCTCCCCTGTGCCTGTGGAGATACAAAGAAAGATTTTCAGACAGAAGGCTTCAAGTCCAGCAAAGAGGCTTAATCCCTTTGTTATAAAACACAAGTGGATGAAGAGACTCAAAAGAAACCAAATCACAAAGAGTTATATTTTAGATGATGGATGAGTGAATGTGACATCCATTTAAAGGGATCTCAAAAAAGCCCAAAGACACCCATCACAGTGGAGAAGGCTCCATGTCAAAGGGTGGTCTAGAACACTGGGAGCCTGTGTAGTACCTTGATAGAAGCTTGGCTTGGAGATCAGTGGAGTTTCTAAGAAAGAACTGGCTGGATGTCTAAGCTCAGAGTGTCTCTATCTATGAAATGTGGGTCACAAGCATCTTCATCCATTCATTCCTCCTTTCTCACATCTGCTGAGCCAACATCTGCTTTCCCTGAAGTGTGGGACATGGATGAGATTGGAGTGAAAGTAATGGAGGAGACATTTCTGTCACCCATAGCGACATATTTGAGTACTATTCTTCAGGAATACGGTGACTGTGGCCATTGTTAAAATATGGAAAAGCTCCAAAATTGATGGTGAATAGATGTCTCCCCAACGCCTGTTCAGGTTAGCAGAGAGGATTGTCTATATAATTATACACCACTATAATAATCTACAATCAGAGGATTTAAGAAAGGACCTGTGTGCCCTTGATTGGGTTCTGGTACGTGGCCCAGCTGTCACTTTGCTGGTGCAGGTGTGGAGGGTTTCCTTCGCATGGTGGTCTGTCGCTGTCATTGTCGCCCTTACTTCTAGCTTCCTAAATGCCCAGAAAGGTCATGGGGGATGAGTCTCTAATCATAGGAATCCTTGGAAAGGACTGGGCATTTCTTGAAGAAGATTGAACTACTAGAATTAGATGAGAAGAAGATTTCTTCTCCTTTGCTGTTTAAAGCTGTAGGGCGAGGCACAGCTCCCAGCTGGGAAGACAGCAAGGCAGTGGGGCTGAGCCCTGGTGGTTCACGCCGGAAATCCTAGCTACTCAGGAGGCTGAGACCTGAGAATCGATCGCAGTTCAAAGCCAGCCAAGGCAGGAAAGTCCATGAGACTCTTATCTCCAAGTAACCACCAGAAAACTGGAAGCGGAGCTGTGGCTCAAAGCCTTGAGCAAAAGAGCTCAGGGACCAGCTCAGGCCCTGAGTTCAAGCCCCACCACAGACAAAAAAAAAAAAAGAAAAGGAAAGGAAAAGGTAGTAGGGACCTAAGTTCTTCACTGATAAAAGAATTGAACTCCAACAACCACCAGAGCTGGAGAAAAAATCTCAAATGGGAATAGTTACCTCAAGCCATCTTGACTCTGGCTTGAGAGAACAGAACACATTGCCACACATGGCTGGACGTCTGTACAACTGTGAGCAGAATAGAAAACAATACAGGAAGGGTTGCAGGGACAGAAGGACTAGGCATTAGACCACCTGCTTTGGTTCTTGTTCTTCCTTAAGCTGAGGCCCTCAGAGTCACTCCCGTAAGCCTCGATTACCTTGTTTATAAAATGGGGATAACAGAACTCATCAAAGAGAGTGGCTGAGAAGTTTCTAATTCCTGGCTTATAGGCATTCTCCAAACTGGCAGCTACACCTTTGCCTGTGTGGATTCCACACTCGTGGATTCAGTCAATCACAAACCAAAAATATTCGGGGAAAAAAATTCATTGAGAACCAGACATGGTAGTACACACTTATCATCTCAGCTTCTTGGTACTGGAGGCAGGAAAACCACCGTAAAGTTAAAGTGAGACCTTGTCTGAAAAGCAAACTAAAGTGAAGGCAAAAGAGGCGTGGTTCAAGTAGTTAGATAGTAGGCCCTGATTATTGCAATACATACATATATATAGAGAGAGAGTATGTATAATAACTTTATATACCTTTTTCAGTACAAATATTTTCATAGTATATGAAAAGTCAGTATCAGTAATCCAGAAATGATTTAACTCATACAGGATGGTGTAATAGCTTATATGCAGATGCTACACTGTGTGCATAAAGGAGTAATATTTTATTATTCACCAGGTCCTGGAACCAATAGGACTGCAAGGTTATTCGCTAGCGGAGAGCAGAGCTAGGATGCAAATGCCCTTGGGTAACTGGAGGAGTAGACATGGCTGGCAGAGTTCTGGAATGTCTCCAGCTTCTCTGGAGTCCTAGTTGGGAGCACCCAAGAAGCTGGGAAGACCTTTCCTTCTGCTGATCCCCACTTAGGCAGACCCTTGCTGGTGCTGGGTCCGGAGAGTTTCTCCTTCACACTGTGGTCTGTCATTGTCATTGTCTCCCCTGCTTCTAGCTTCCTGGGTGCCACTGCACTGCCTTGGAATGACAGGGGTGGGAGCCAGCACCCTGGGGCACCGGGCAACAGTGCAGCTGGAACTGGGGCTCCCTGAGACATGCAGCCTCTACAGTCTCCCCTTCCCCATACAGGTCCAGACAGTGTCCCTCTTGTTGCTAGAAACCAATTCTCACCTCTCCTTCCCTTCTGTAGTTCCCTGGCAGTCCCCTGCTCAGAGGCTTCCAGGGGTGAAGCCAGCAGAGCAGGGCCTCCTCCTGCTCCAGGCAGGAAGAGCAGGTGTGAGAGGTCAGGAGGGGCCTGGAGAGAAGGGATCCAGCAAGCTGGCCCAGAGGTGCACAAGGCCCAAGACCCTCCCCTGCAATCCCTCTTGTCTGAGGGGGTGAGGGCAGGGTCAGCCATGACTCCAGCATCCTAGATCTTGTATCCAAGACTCCCCAAATACTATCCCAACTACAAATTACCAGCCTTAAAACAAAATTCTCTTAGTGCACTCTGAGGTTTAATGGCATGGAAACCAGTAGTAGAAAATCTTTAAAAGCCCGCCACGTCTTCTGTTCGTAAACCTCATCATTTAACAACTTATTTGTTCCATTAACGTAAGGGGGGGGGGCAGGTGCCTATTCTCCAATTCCATCAACCTTTAAAGGGCCTGCTCCTGAATTCCTGGTTGTTGAACTCAAATTTAGTCCAGGTCATGTAACAGGATGTAGTAGGTGTGAATGCCCAGAGGAACAAGGCTTCATTCCTTCACTCAATTAGTCAGTCAGTGAACTGGGAATTTACTTCATGCTGGGCCATGGAGAGGGGGAGGAGGTAGAGATTCATGTCCATGACATTCCTGTGTTTTCCACTCAGGGAGATCTTGCAGTAGTGCAGGTCCTGACTCATGAGGCCTGGGCTTCCCCAAGTCTGCATGTTTCCCCAGGAAGCTGACACAGCTGGTCCTCAGCACACACCTGAGTATTAAGGCTTCTCCTACTGGGTGCTGATTTCACCAATCAGCCCTGGCCCTGGTCTGTCTGTCTGTCTGTCTGTCTGTCTGTCTGTCTGTCTGTCTGTCTGTCTGTCTCTCTCTCTCTGTATATATGTGTGTTCTCTGCCTTCATGGAGCTCCTGGGGTGGCCCTCTGTGTGTTGCAGATGGGCAGATGGTAGCTAGACCAGCCCTCAAACCAGCATCTTAGGTAGCTTTCATGCATGGATGGCACAAATGGTTCTCAATGTGGTGAAGAGATTTCAGTCTGCAAATGCCATAGACCCTTCCAGAGGAGGAAGACTGTAAGGACAGTGGGGTGGAGCAAGTGTTGTCCCAAGCTGGCCTCTGGCCCACATGTAATGGAGTTGATTCCTCCTGGTCAGGGAATGCAGGCACAGCAGGGCTGTGGGGCTCTGCCACATGGCACGATCAGAGTACAGGGGCTGATCCCAGGCTGCTCCCCTACGTTCTCCCCTGGCCAGAGTAGACATGATCCCCTGTGACTGGGAGGGGCTGGTGTGCCAGGATCTGGGAGAGGAGTCTTGGGGGGCTGTGGAGCCAGGGGACGATGTGGATCCAGGAATAGCTGGTGTCAGACAGGACACTTCACCACCAGACAGCTGTCCCTGGATACATGGGTCTCGCTGCAGGGTTGCTTAGGGCTCGGCACAAGGGAGCTGGCAGCGATGCAACTAGATCTCCTTAGGGGGAGGAGACCAGCATCCCTGGGGAGCAGCCACAGGTTCACAGGTTGTCCTTGCTCCGGTGCCTCTGCTCCTCAGAGGGGAGCCTTGGACCCGGGCCGTCAGCACAGGTAGGATTGTTCTTGAGAAGAAAGTCATGGTGGAGAGGACTATGGCTGTGCCTCATTTGGACCCAGAGAGGCCCCAACATAGCTTGCTTCTTAGAAGCATCTGTCTAGGCTGATCTGTGGTGAGTTTCCTGTGCCCTTTGCATTCCCTTGTGCCATATATATGCATATATATGCCATATATATATATATAGATAGATAGATAGATAGATAGATAGATGTGTGTGTGTATATATATATATATATATGTATATATATATATATATATATGTTCTAGGGCTTGAACTCAGGGCCTGGGTGCTGTCCCTTCACTTTATCACTCAAGACTGGTACTCTACCACTTGAGCCACAGTTCTACTTCCAGCCTTTTGCTAGTTAATTGGAGACAAGAGTCTTACTTGCTTTAACTGACTGGGTTTTCTTCAAACCTCCATTCTTAGATCTTAGCCTCCTGGGTAGCTAGGATTACAGCTACGGGTGCCTGGTTTTGTTTTTGTTTTAAACAAGTGCTCAATTTATCTCTGGAAGACTCAGAGGGGAGAGGGAACTTGCCCAACGTCACACAGCTCGAAAGCAGCAGAGCCCTACTTTGAACTGACCCTGGCCTAACGCCAGAGCCCACAATCACCTAGTCTCCAATTTCCTGTCCTAGTCTCCAATTTCCTGTCCATCACAGCCTAGTGACCTTGGTTCTGAATTATAGTGCTGACTCTCCTAGACACATTTTAAACTCTGTCTCACTCCCCCACCCCCACCCCACCCCAACCCCTGCCTCTCATCTATGACTGGGACTCAAACTCAGTATCTGATGCTTTTGCTCATTGGCTGGCACTCGATTGCCTAAGCTATGTGTCCAGCCCCACGTCTTATACTTTTAATCATATCTTATTCCATAAGTCCCCCACCTTG